CTAAGAGAGCTGTTTGCCAACACAATTTGTGTGAATTGAGTATTAGGTAACACAGAAGGACAGAGGACAAAGGGAGAAATAAGAAATGGCGCCATCTCCGTGCCCCCAAAACCCAGAGGAAGCCATGCCAATGGAAAGCTTCCACACTCCTGAGAAAACAAGTGCTTGCTGAAGCTTGGCTCCTGGCTCCTCAGTTTCTTCTAAGACTGTTACAGCTACTTCAGATCTTGCCACAGTGCCACGATCTTTACACACAATTGCACTGAATTTCAAATTAAATGTTGTTAGAGGCTTAATAAAAATTACATCCTTTTGTAGCTGTGGTATCCATTCTGAGACCTCAAGTCTAAATACTTCACTTTGAACACTGTGTTTCTGTTTCCTCAGTAAGAAAACAAGTTGGGTTTAAGGAGCGGAAGCAGAGCAAGCTGAGTCTTAGAGCTGAACGTCTCCTTCAAACTGCTTACAGGGAGACAACTTGTTTTCCAGATTCATCCCTGAGGTTATTCTGCTGACACCAGAAGCTATTCAGGAAACATCCCCAGGCTCTTTGAACAACAACATATGCACTTGCTGAGCAGAGCAAGAAATACTAACAGTTAAAGCCAGTAGAAGGCTTGGAATCTGATTTTAGTTGATTAAAGAAGAAGATCACTTTTCCTTCAAGTGAAGATTCTTATCTTCTATTGAATTTGGATCTTCGACGACTAAATAGCTCTCTGTAAGAAAAGAGGGATATTTCATCAGAGGCATTTCTGAACATTGCATTTTCACCTGAACAGCAAGACCTGTGGTAAAAATCCTTTCTAAGCAGTAAAGACGAGATTTTATGTGTAATCCTACTGAAGGTTCAAATGTGTACAAAATTTTATTTATAACTTCTTAAAGGAAAAAAAAAACCACAGATTATTTTATTATCAAAAACAAACCTTGGACTAGCAATTGCATAAAACAATGTTTATGGTAACCCCACAGTAACAGCCTTTGTCTTTCCCACATCACCCATATGAATGTGACAAAGCCTGTGTACATAAGACCTTGTTTCAGAACATTTGGTTGGAGCATGGTCAATGTTTTTGAGGTATCTACACGTTGTATGTTTAGGGGGGAAGTTTGTTGATTTGAAAAACAACAAAAAATTCTTTGAATTGTAGTATTGTTCAAGAATTGTATCACCCAGTCACCCACATAAATAGTTCCATATTCTAGCTAAAATGAACAAAGATTTTAAAAGAGCCTATACGCTCAAAGATAAAAGCAAAGGCATATTATACTTCTTTAACAGTATTATTTCCTTTTTCCTGGTTAGAATTTCCCTAATCTTCCACAAGACCTTTCAAATTAACTTTTTGCATGGTTTCCACTTTTACCAAGCAAAACCCTCATAGCAGACATGATCATCTTCTCATACCAAACTGTCTCTTTCTGTGATTTTAAAATTGCATATTTTAGTGACATTTGCTGTGACCACCTTACCAAGCTGATGTTAGTCTGTGCTGCCAACACACTTCTTCTTGCCATTGCCATAGCAAAAGGCTCTCAAATAATTCAAACCGAAAGAAAAAAACTCCATGCAAACCATCTAATGTGTTTCAGCCACTTGATGCAGTGTGAAAAGAAGGAAAGAGAACTCTTTGCATGGAGATCCATCAGCTGCTAATAGCCCTAATAAAAATGGGCTACAGAGACCGTTCCTGCATATCTTATGATGAAAGTCTAGATGTTCATCAGAGAAACCTTCTTTGAAATGCACCTTTTATTTACAATGATATTTATGAGTGTGTGTTGGGAGAGGACTTCTTGTGGACTAAGAAGGCTCTACTGTGTTAAAGATGTCTATAATAATGACATATTTTTACTTTTCAGACCACTGCTTTGTTTTTTTTTTAAAATCCAAACAACACTTGATGGGAGTTTGTAGAGGATTATCCATGCTCAGTGGGTTTATTTAAGACTGAGGATACTGAGCTTGTATCATTGCAGGTGAAATAATGTTCAGAGGTCTGGATTATTGCTACACTTCACAGAAGACATGCAACAAATGCTAACTAAATGTTTAATTAGTCAAGGAAATAAGTGAAAAAAAAGGCATTATACATAAACAAAAATGTATTTTAAAAAGATACAGCAGCTGCCTTTGAATTTTTTTATGACCTCACAAGTCACTCTTTCTGGGCGCAGACTTGCTGCAATTTTGAAATGTTAAAATCTTGTTCTTTTTATACTGTTGTCTCATGAAAATAAGGTCTATATTGTCTTCTGATGCTCCATTGCAAACTGACAGAATTCTATTGAAGCAACTGTAAAAAATGCACCTTCTTTGTAACAGGGTAGGAAAATCTTCTCAAGAGAAGTGGCTCAATAATGACAGCTGGATTGCAGCTTGCACCAGTGCTAACTGCAGCAAGTGGCTCCTTTGACCTAGACAAATTAAACTGAAATTGAAGTTGCTATGAAACTACATGTTGCAGTAGCAAAACATATTTACTTAGACGAAGGCAGGAAGGAATGGCAAGGAAACTTAGATCTGACTTGTTTTCCACAAAGGCATAATAAAAAAATCATTTAACTGGGCCTCCAGACGACTATTAAAATCAATTAAAGCTACCTACAAAGCTATTGGACTTGCCAGCCTGAATGTGGGAAACGAACCCGGATCATGTGGTCTGCTAGTGCCATCTATTGTGTACAGGGAAAACTACAGATACCGCATGTCAGAGTTGTCTCTTTTCTCCTTAAGATGTGAGAAATGCTCTTTCTGCATTACAATACCGATTAAAAAATGTAGCCAAAGCTCATTAAATCCCTGATGCTTTTTATAAAACACAGCACTTATTATTATTTATGTGTATTTCAGCAACGTACAGGCCTCTAACCACTGCGAGGCTTCATCATGCCAATATTGTTTATATATGCATGTGCTGGCCATATGAGCACGTACACACGCACACAAATGCAGTGAAAGACCGACCCAACTGTTCTGGGTTTAGTCAAAGCCACAGATAAATAAAATTAATAAATTATAAATTAAAACCTATTGCTACTTCCCTACATTATGTTGAATTTCTCCCAAATAAAGGGACCTTAGCTCATTCTTCCAAGGAAGCATACATTATCCCTTCTTAAAATGCTACCTTTCACTGTTTCTCGGAGGAGAACAGCCCTTCCAGCTTTTTCCAGAGAGAGTATTTCTAGTGGACATTGTAAACTGCTAGGAACAGTTCACCAACCCCAAACACTCTGCCATCTTCAAGCAGACCCTCTAAAACCTCAAGGCTTGTGAAAATGTGGTCAATATTGAGACTAAGACTGTATTTATAGAGCAGTCTAAAATACCAAGCTCTTGAATGTCTTTACAAACTTCATACCAGGATGTCCAAAATTCACTGACATGTTACCATAATCACTCTGTTCCGCTTGAAACTTTTGCGACAAGTAGTAGGACAAAGTAATAAATCCCTTGCCGTCAAGATTACTACTGTCAAACATATGGTGCTGTCACACACAGGGCAGTGTGCAAACAGAGCAGATCAGAAACTAAAATTCAGAAGACCTCATGTGAAAAGCCAAAGGTGCAACACATGGTGATCACTGGCTTAGCGCACATGGGAAGGAAAAGCAGCGCCAGTAACAGAGTTCTAAGACAAAGCTGGTTTTCGGTATTTTGAATTGACTGAGTTTCATCCTTACATGATGTGATCTGGAACTGTGACAGAGACCACACCGATGGTATTTCATCAGCAGATCAAGCTGCATAACCTAGAAAAATGAGAATTGGCACTTTTGGAAGGGACAGAATGATTTAACGTAACCACTAAAAATAACAGCATCTGTCATGTGATTTACTGTAGTTTATGCAAAAGGAATTTCTCAATCGCTCCTGATGGGCTGACAAATAGAAAACATCATGCAGAGCAGATGATGAAAATATTTCTAGTATAGGTTCCAAGAGAAAATAGATATTTCTTGTTGCTAAGAAATGGGAAAATATAGAAAAAAGGGCCTGTAGCAAAGCAACAGGAATCTCTAACCCATAGAGTTCACTTGCTCATAAAAAGTGAAAGGGTATTAACTAACAAGAGTCAGCCACAGTTAAAATAGTACACCTTGCTAGAATAACAGTTTTTCACAATTGTTTGCAACTCCCATTTCAACTGAAAAAGTTTTGACTGAAAATCTGCCTGGAGCCAGAGAATCATCACAGTGTTTTCAATAGCTGTTCACTGCACAAATGAAAAGGAAATAATCCATTGTCTCTATCTGCATGTTGATGCATGCTGATGTTTTTGGTCTAACAAATTTAATAAAAGGTACACTGTTGGCAGTGTATTCTTTTGGTCGCGAGTATAGCTCTCATTAAAATGTATCACAATAAAGCTCAGAAAAAGGTGAAGGATTTCACAGAATCCCAGAATATGCTGAGCTGGAAGGGACCCACAAGGATCATCGAGTCCAGCTCCTGGCTCTGCACAGGATTATCCCCAAGAGTTACACCATGTGTACTTCATTCAGCAGTTCTTCAGTACTTGAATTAACACACTGATTTCAGCAAACAAGATTATCTTGATTCAGCCTGAACATTTTCTTCCCCCCTTTAGGATATTGTAATCACTGTAGAGGTTGGTTGTCATTTGAAATAACAATTTCAAGCTTCTATAACAACTTCAAGCTTCTTATCATTTAGTTTACGAAATCTAGGAATAAAAAACAATAGAAGAACAATACACAGTGTACTAAGAAATATGGTCTTTTCTTAATATGGCCTTCAAAATAACAGCATGTTACTTTTTATGGTTGATACACATTCTCTTTTTAGTATTTCTGATCTTCTCTTGAAAGGATGTGTGTCATTTGCAGGATACCTAATCAGCAAGACATCGGTCCTTTATTTAGTCAGTACTAGATTTGATTTTTAATTTGATTGTAGCTACAAACCTCTGAAAGATAACCTGATTACTATGGAAAGTAAATCTGCTAGAGAAAAACATGTTCACTATTTGGAAGAACTTATAAAGAAAACATCAACTCTTTATGTTGTGAAGCAGCTGAATTTAATACAGTTTAAAATACATATTAAAGGAAATATCAACAGATGACTAATCTTAAGACATCCCTGTCCAAAACACACATTACTTTTACTTTGTGGAAAATTAGCAACTGAAAATCATCAATATTTCTGCATAAACTGTGACAGAGCATGGCAAATGTAATTTTCAAGAACTTAATTGACAGTCAAGTGGCTAATGCACTGAATGGAGGTAGCAGATCAGTCCACAAAAGAACGTTTTTGCCTGCAGATACCTGTAACATCTGACCCCACAATTAACTCCTTTCCCAGTTTTTCATTACAGAAATGTGTCTATAGCAGCAAATACGCCATATCTTCACTACAGATGCTCCCGGGTTGTTTTTTTTTCCTTCAGTTTTATGTATATAATACTCATATACATATGACCAAAAACCTGAAAACTACTTGTTTTCCATGCGTTTCCAAAGACTTTTAGGAGACCTTCTTCATTCCATCATTGTAGGTTAAAACACAGGCTGGAAACTTCTGCTTTGTGTTAACCAAATTGCAGTAAGATTTCTCTTTGCTATGGAATGCATAAATGTAAATTGACTTTCTACTCTCACTTTAGTTTAAAGTTTCCTATGGCCAGCTGTGCATAAAAGGGAAAACGGGGCAGATTTTTATATATTGCAGTGATGATTAGAAAACACCTTTTCAAGCAATTTAGTTTAAACTTGTCCTAGCACTTGTATTTGTTTACAATGCCCAGTACCAGAAACATGCAGCATAGTGCTAAATTTCTAGTCTTGAACAAAGATGCTCTCAACATCTTCCATAGCCCTTTCAACTTAACAGAGTAGGAATTCAGCCTTAGTGATCTCCATTGCCTTCAGATTTTCCTGTTAGCAAAATGTACTTTCTCAAGTTTTAAACTGATGTTATTAACTAGACTACAGCACATTATAAAGTATGGACATGCCCAAAAGGGAAGATCTGAGGAGATCAAGTTCTTGAATGACTTTGCAGTGCTTCTAGAGGTTGCTTCTATTACAGTATTTTTAATATAACAAACCGTATAAAAATTACAAAATATTACAAAAAGGCAGCAGGAACGTTGCTGTGTGTTTTTAACATCTTTTAGAGGATGTTGTTGTAGATGTTGCACAGTTAATGGCATGGTTTCTTAATGCAATTTATCAATCCCTGTCCCTCTGCAACATTTTCTATGAGTAAAAAGAAACCTAGAATTTTCAAGATACAAAATATTCTTTTTCATATCAGGAGTCTTCATGTATTTCTGCTGATATCCTTACAGAAAATCTCTAAAAGAAAAATAAAACAAGATCAGCCTAAGATAAATTAATTTTACAGTTCTGCAATCCAAAGTACAAGGAGATAAAACAAAACAAAAGAAAAAAGTGTTTAAGTGAAATACATCCTATGGGAAATTTTTTTTAAAAAGGGGATGATTTTTCTTAATTTTTCCTATTTTTCTTAATTCCATCATTTTCTCTTATTATGTTCACAATATTTATGTACAGTTAAACTCTGAATGTTTAACACTGTGATCAGAAGTAAAATTATCAACTAAAACTTGCTGAGGAGTATTCTGAGGACTACAGCATTGTCCTGCAAATATCCATCTCCAAGGGAAGAGTCTGACCTTTGATGAAAGAGATGCCATCATATATGCAGGCACCAGAGTGATGGACTAGCAATAAACACCTCCCCACAAAATGATGGATTAAATGATGCATGCACTTCTGAATGTACTTCAATAATTCTGTCCTTTTAGAAGGACAGTATACACCTTTAAGATAATGCATTGCGTGATTTTGAACAATTGCTTTTTAAAAAAAAATAAGTGCTTTTTTTCTGCTGTAGCTAGGGGAGGTTTATTATTATTTAATAAGGAAAAGTCCTACAGACATGGTCTATACTAAGTCAAAACTAAACACACATAGAAATGTTTGCTATTCATTAGTAAAATAAGATAACTAAGTAAAAAAAAAAGAACTAAGAATCCTTTGTTGCAAACTTATTTCTGTACATGCTTAGAAAGCTACATGTATATTATATAGAAGTATTAACTACTTCCATGCTGTGAAGAAGGAAGGGAATTAATGACAAAGTTTTACGTGATCTGATGCCAAACTCTGCTTTTACGCCAGAGGACATGGAGGGTTCTCACTATTTTTCCACCCTTCCCACCTCCACAAATTCTGGATACGGTTTCCAGCAATTTATCACAGCACCAAGTTGTTCTCACATTCTACACTTGTGCATATACTTACTTGGATCTGGTTTTCGGATTTCTGGGACCTGTGTGAGGCAATGCTATAAATGAAAGACCTACATATGAGGTATGAGATCTACAGTGATTACAAGTGAGTCAGTTCATCTTTGTGACAGGTATAAAGCAGCAGTTCTCAGTAAGCAACAAGACCTGGTGAGGCAAAGGTTGGGAAACTAAGTTCAAGGCATGCCTTTCATAAGTCATACAAAAGCGTTTTCTTGTAACTAATCTAGTATTTTCTCTTCCTAAAATTCAGGCTTGATGCATCACCAGATCCAGCTACCCAAACCAGAATGTCTTTATGTCAATTATTTTCCAAAAATTATTTTATATTTTTTGGCCTGTGAGGGAATGTCAAGCCAAATTGTGATATCTAAAAAGAAAGGAAACATCCATTGTTGAAATGCAATGGATTATTATATAAAAACTCTCAGGTTTAGTTGCATTTTTTATTATGCATATAATTTTATTATGTCAATGTTAGAAGGCCTCTTTCTCAAAAAGATTGGTAAATAAGTAGAACATATTAATTTAATGAATAATTGTACACATCAGACACATATTAAACTGTTAAACTGTATTTTATGTTTTAAAAATGAGGTGAAGAATACATAGACAGAAATCAGTTTTAACATTGGTAAAATTTGTTTCTGTACAGCTTTGGTGTATCTGTCTGACATAAAGAATGGTAATTTTCAATTGCATTTGTTGTTATACAATTCATAACTCTTAGCCACTGCTAAAATATGTAGATACCCACCTGAAAATCTCTAATGAACGTTAAAAAGAAGAAGATAAAACCAAAGGCCACCGTCCATTCACAGATTGCACTCATAAAATGATAAGTATAATCCTGACGGAATCAGACATAAAACAAATTTTCAAATAAAACAGCTAAACAAAATACATGTGGAATGCTATAGACATTTCCTTCTGTAAATTCAACAAATATTATAAGACTTATGACTCATCATTCTAATACTCCATTGTACAAAAGTCACTTCAGACTTAGTTTTTACAGCATGGTAAGTGCATCCCAAGTAAAAAAAAAAAAACACCAAAAACCAAACAAAACCTCAAGATATTACTAAGATTGTCTAACTTGCAAAGATTTTTCTCATGGCTGCCTTGCCACTGTTTGGTTGAAGTACATTGCTAAGTTTGCTTTTATTAAGGGTCTTAAAGCAGGATGCACTCTCTGCATTATTTAACGTGGTTTTTAGTACTTCCTTTTTTTAGTACTTCCCTTTTGTTTGTCCAAAAATAAAAATTCCTTTTCATAGTTATCATTCTGAGAACACTGAAATCAATTAAAATACCTAATATTGACTTTAGTGTGCTTCAGTTCAGACCCTAAATATTTATGGCAGTAATAAAGACTTTTTAATAAAGAATGGTAAAAAAACTGAAAAAACAAATGTTGTAAAAAAACCTCAGAAACTTCAGAATCAAATTGGTCCACTTTTGTTTCATGTGTAAAGTTCATTTTCAAGAAACTGAGGAAGTAGAACAACTAATTTCCAGAACATTTTTTTTTTTTTTTTTACTATGGGAAAGTTTCAAACACTTGGTTAAAATGAAAGTCTCACTCTCTAAAGACTGAACCCTCCACTGCGAGTTTCCTTACCCGAGCCACATACATTTTTCTAATGAAAAGTAAGTAACCAGCATTGCACAAATCTGTTCATGATAATGCACTATTTAAAGTCTCTAAAACGTTTGTACTGCTAGACACTTTTAGATCACTATAACAGCATTCCCCACATAATATGATAGAGGGTAAATTGGCTGCCTAATAAGATTCTACCTTTTCACCTGGAGTCCAATCAATTTTTGTCATGGAAACTTGAGAAGCAAACACAATCACTGGGAAAAACAGTGTAAAGGAAAACCATAACATTTTAGTGAGTAATACTGAAAATATTTGCTCGCAAAATAACACCCCATCTTCCCCTTCCAGAAAAAAGCAGCACCTGAACAACCAGAATATCAAATCAAGATATTAAGAAAACAAGTAAATGAAACACATTATTGCAAGGTAAGTGGTAGCAGCAATCAAAACACATTTGTTGGTTCTTTCAAAGTACAGACAATAAGGAGAGACACTCCAAAACTTAAATCATATTTATGATCAAGAACTGTAGGAGCAGAGTCCTTCATTGTTGGAAGGGGAACTATGTTGGTTTTCACTGGTCCACAACAGGTGCTTGACATATTTGTACAACTTCCTCTCAGGAACTGGGGCCACCTTTAAAAACATTTTCCCAGCTGCTGAAACCAAAAGCAGGCTGTATCTGGCTGACTGATGTGATGAATCTGCTGTGACCAGTTTTCAACAGTGGCAGATCACCCAAAGCCAGTAAAATTAATTGAATGATTCTAAATTTCAGCATGCCATGGGAAAAGCCATTAAGTGTGTTCAGTGTGTCTTTAGGGGAGGCAATTAATGAAGGCTAGCACCAACCAACATGACCAAAATCATTTGCTTAGGCTTGAAGAAAATCTTGCCATCTTTATTTTGTACATCTCTGTTTTTGGTTCATGGCCTCCATTATTGCAGGCCTTTCTCCCTTCTGTCCTTCTAATGAAGGAGGTTGGAAAGCTGATCTACGTTTATTAGCGTATGATCCTGTGAAGAACATTGGGGCATTGGTTTGAAATATACCACTGAAATAAGAGATAAAGCTTTTTAGAAGACTCTAAACCTCATCTTTATGCTATCAATGGTGTCTCAATATGCTCTATTATATGCATTAATGAGCCCTAAGCAAAGAGTGCAGCTTCATGCTTTATCAACAATGTTTTAACTTAAAAGGAAAGTCATGAACGCATAAAGGGAAAACCACGGGATCCACCATAAAGGATACTGGGAACGAAAGCAATGCATGATATTGCAGATATGGCCATCCTTATGTGACACACAAAGTAAGTGTTCCATTTTGGGCAGGACTTGTAGGAGATTACAGACTGAAGTGTAATGTATACAACACCCGAGCCAAATGCCACCAAAGCTCCTACGTCATGGACACTGGGAACAGCCAGCTCCTGGAAAAAGAACCAGCATAATGGTTAGCTGCTACTGTCTGAGTAGTGGCAGGAATCAATGAGGCGTGAGAAGACAGCAACCACATTATGCTGGGCACACACAAGGAGTGGGAAACAGTCCCTATTCCCAGCAGTCTACACAGGGAAGACGAAAGAGAATAGAAAAAGAGTAGCTCAGAGAAGTAAACTGTGTCTAAAGCCACTGGGTCAGTCCTTTCCCATGTTCATGTAAAAGTTTAGATCAGTTTTAGTTCTGTTCAGCAGTTGCTCTATTACCAATTAATGTTTCCACAAACAGGAACTGGCTTGCGTTTTTCTTCAAAGGTTCTTATAGTTCCTCACTTCCCCTCACTCTGCCAGATTTTAACCCCACGCTGAGATTCTAATCTGCATTTGTGCGGCCAGACTCTAATGGTAAAATTTCATGGGAGCTGTTCTAAACAGTGACTCCTATAGCTCCATCCCCCACCCTCAGTGGCCAATCACAAGGCTCCAGGAAATAAGTAAGGAGAAAATTAGTTATATATTTAAAAAATATCGCTATATGTGACCTATATTTTTGTAATATCCAGCCTATGGAAGATTCCCTCCTTTATAACAAAAACAAGTAGAATATCCAGTAGCAAAACAGATTAAGATTCCAGAGCAATTACTATATTCTAAAGGTTTCAAAAACTTTTACAAAATCAAAGATATGGCACCTTGAAATGCAATATCAGTCAGGGAGACAATGTTTAAAGATCCTTTCTGTCACCAGAGCATAACCAAACCAACAGGTGTTATGAACCTAGGAACTGACCTACTACAGATCTGTTTTCTTGATTCATGAAAACATATCTATACCCTTTCATTATATATCTTAAGAGTCTTTCCTGCCTGGAGGCCCCTGTTTTCTTTGTCTTGTAATGGTGGTTGTGTTCACATGCTCTTTTCCCCCATGCTTTTCTTTATACTCATTCCCTTCTATCTCTCTGTGACGTATTAACTTTTAGTAGAATTTAAAGCATGTTCCTCACACAGGTGTTTACATGGCAGTTCATCTATACTTGCATTTTCTTCTCCTCTGTCCCAATTTCTGACTCCCATATATACAGGAATGGTAGGATTTGGTATGGAAAGCATTAAACAAGCATTGCATTTAGCCTGTACACAATATAGAGAGCTTTGCTAACATGACTGTCGTGATTGCTCCTGCCAAACTGCCACAGTTTCCTTTAAAAAGTCCATCACACTCAATTCCTACAAGAACCTAGGACCTGTTGCTACATGTGCTACAGTAAGCCTCCTAAATCTTGCAGGTAAAGGCAGGAAGATCATTCTTTAATCATGTGTAATGTCTTACAAGCAAAAGTAGAGCTGCTAACACCTGGAGTTTCACTTCGCCTTTTTCATGAAGGACTACAGGGCTTTGCCTTCCACATCCAACTATCTTCTTAAAGCTAACCCTCCACTGCCTTTCATTTCTGTATTTCAAGCATTGTGTTATTTAAAACAGAGAACAAACATTCATGACCATTGCTTATTTTCTCAGAAAATCATTTGCTTTTAAGGGACACAGTCTTTTGTGCCATTTTGTTCTTCACTTTTACTAAGTGTTCAGACACCAATACCATTAAACCTTCATGCTACCTACCACGTCTCTTGAAGCAAAAAAGATGAAAAAAATAAGCAAACCTTAAATATTTCAAGTACAGTTTCACACTGAAGCCTTTTTAGCAGACTAGGTATTTTGCTCTGGAGACAGAAAAAATGAACTGATGCCCAGTAGTATCAATCAACTCTACTACAGTACTCAGGTATGTTGTGAACTCACCTGCTGGGTAAAAATGAGTGTTTAGAAACTAACATGAACATAAATAGTGCATATGAACATAAATTTCCTGCATGACACCCTGATTAGAGGGATTAGACAGAATACTAACGAAATAACTTCTAATTCCAGCTTTGCTTTGATCTCCTGACCTGAAACAATCACCTTGAGCAAATCTCCCATCCTCTTCATGTCTCAGTTATTCTACTAAATGGGTAAATGGAGGTAGGAATGTACTGTTCACTGGTTGTAGACTATATAGTTAAAAGACTAAAGACTTGCAAGCCACCATTTCCAGCTTCATGGGCAAGTAAGCATTCTCAAAATCTGCTATATAGATGCTTAGCTAGATTAGATCCTTACTGCGTTCTGAACCCTTCCCACAAACTGCACTTAGCATGGAAAGCAAGGTCAAAGCAGAGGAAGCAGAAATTAGGTAAGGAAGGAGTTTAAAATAGGCAACGAGAGAAAACAGAGATAAGAACCAATGTTATAACTGTCAAGGGACCCCTCTGAAAACGTTAGCATCAAAGTTTCTGCTTCCCTGTCACAATTATTTTGCATTCTTGAATTTGCCTTTTCCTTATTGAAGCTGAGTTTGTTTTCTACTTCAGTCAAGCAACACTGTTCCCCATTATCTAACTTTTTTGTGCCACATACAAATCTTATCAATAAGAGTACAGATCTTTAAAAGTAAAATAGTGTGCTTAGAATAGACTGCAGTGCCTGTGGTGTTTGGAATCCACACATACTGCCTGGATGTAAAACTTAAAAAGGGTAAGGTATCAATCTAAGGCAGCATTTTTGTCTGAAAATACCATACTCATTACATGTGAAACTGCACTGGCTGCTGAAACCCTGACATTCTTTATTTTCAATTCCTCTGTATGTTGTCAGGTCACTGTATGAGCACACCAGTATTTACCAAAATGTTCCAAGGTAGGCCTTTAAAAGAAATGATTTAGTTGCTTCTGCAGATTTAAAGGCAGTATCTCAAACTACCTGCAAATTCAATTTTACTTGATTCTAAGCTGCAGCTTTCAGTGCAATTGTCCTAATACTTCTTTGTGTCAGAATGTACCCTATTACACACTGCCTCACTATAAAAGGGGAAATTAACAATTTGTTTCAGTATTTTTTGTCTCTATTGAATTTTCTTTCAGACACTGAGGAATGGACTTTGATTTTTAATGGGATGTCAAATCTTTTTGGGCAAAGTAAGCAGTAATTCTACATGTCTCTATAAAAAGACAACATGTTGTTATGCCATCTCCTACAGACTCAAAACAACAGGCTGATATTGTGCTCAATGTTCTCACCTGTCAGGTAAGTCTAGTTTATTCTGTAGAAAGTTCTGCTAGTGAGCGTGCCATCATTCAGGCAAAAATGCAGATGCATTTGTCAGTCCTACTTATTTTGCCCTCCCTAATTAAACTTTGAAAAGCAAAGCTTTTCACAGTCAAATTCTCACTGTAAAAATTTTACAGCAAAAGCATCCATATTAAGTTGGTTTATAGTACAGACCTTTTACCAGACAAAGACACAGAAAACCCCTTACTGACATAACATTTTTGCACAAGCAAAAAATCAAGTATCTAGGGAGAAAACAAATCTGTCTTTTTAAAGGTACTAAATAAAGGCAGGAGCAAAGGAAGGCATTCCTACTTCATTTTCCAGGTATTCACTTTGGGATAATGTTAATCACTCTTACCTATTTGAAATTTTAAGTGGTAAAACAACTTAAGTTTCATTTATGATATGAGATTTATGGTCATACCTGAAAAGTTGCAACTATGCCCATTCCAGTACAGCCCATCAATCCAATACATAATGAAAACATGTTGCATGAAGACCTAACAAAGTGCGATGACTCATTTTGCTTCTCTATTAATAAATATCTGATGTACATCGTAATTACACCTGAAAAAACCCAACCAAAAAATACATGTTTTGTTCAATGATCACATATTGCTTACATTTTAACACCTTTTCCTGTAACAAATGAGCATGCAGAATGAAATTATAAGCATAATACAGTAACTAATATTGCCTTTAAATCTACCGGGATGAAGAAAAAAGGTAGTGAATTTCAGATATATTACTTTCAGACAAAACTTTATCTTAGTCTTAACATCACACATTATTGCTATCTAGAAATAACTGTACATCACTTCAAGAAAAACACCAATTCAAATCCCATTCTCCTGGGTGTTTTGGGCAGAGGTATTGCCATTCCACATTAGGAACAGATGTTACAGGGAGATGAACCATAAGCTGGAAGTGGGAGGTTTTATTCTGCTCTGATATGCAGTCTTGTAGAAGAACTACAACTCCTTATAATGGATGGTCTGCAGAATCAATTAATTTTTGCAGTCACTACATATGTGACCCTGATACGCAGTTCACTCCTACAAGCACCTGTACTGGATAAGAAAATCATGGTTCATCAGGAAATAATAAGCTGTAGACTGGATTCCACAGTTATATATAACACAGAACATGGTTTTAGTCTATCTACAGTTGGAAAAATTCATCAGGTAGCTTTGCCCAGGCACTGTGAGGTTCCATGAAACACACCAAGATAGTGTGAGTGAATGAGCCTCTTAGAGAAAGTAAAATATGAGATTTTTACTTTGCCTTAAGGCCATGGTATACTACATGTATACAGAGATACACAGCTCTTGATCCTTCATCCCCTGAAAGTGAACAGAAAATGCCAAACTTCCTGACTCCCATCAGTCATTTCGTAGAAGAGTAGGAATGTTGCGGAGAAAACGAGGTGTTGTTTCAACACTGTTCTTCCCCTTTGCTGCAGCATATTAGAAACTAAAGCATCCCCCTATCAGAGACAAAGTTTTTGCAGAGTAATTAATTATGCCATCTTTCTTCCCCTTTTATTTCCAGCCTCATTGACTACTTTGCACTGATGAGGTGCTCTTAAGAGACCTAAGTGCCTCCTAAGAACCTGGCCCTCTGGCTATTACTTACATCTATCTACACCACCATTTGACTGTGGAATGGTTTTTCTGCAGAGTACTGAACGGACTGCAATGTAAACAGACAACTTTTGCTAATTCTCATTTCTTCATTCTGGGCAAACCAAGTACTTTATACATACCTAAAAGAGCGGAAATATTAATCATAAAACCAAAGACACCACTCTCTGGAGGTTTTGTTCCAGTGTCACTAAAGCAGGAGGAGAAAGAAATTAACAGTTAATTGAAATCTGTGAAACATAAATGAGATGTACATGTGAAATCCCAAGAACAATATAATTTGTGTGAAGTGCTGCTATGGGAGTAGGGCATTTAAACATATCTTCTGCTGCACACGTAGCCTCCATTTGTAGTAGTGAATCTTTTTTT